CCATTTCTCATCATTTTTCCTTTCCCCTGCCCCTCCCACTACCCCTACCCCTTTGGACCTTTTCTTCCTATTTCGCATTATCAATTATTCATTCTAATCATTGGTACACTTTAGGTATTCAATATAATGACATTCATCATTGGAAATTTGCACCTTTACATAATCTCTCTTGGTTCTTATTTTTCCCCCTTCCTCTGCCCTTCCTTCAATCCCTCCATCCCTCCCTATTTACAAAGACTTTGTCTCCATTTTTCCATTTTCTCATATTAATTCCATTCCCTTCTTTCCTTTCCCTACCCCTTCCCCTTTGCCTCTTTTCTTCCTATTTCACATTATCTATTATACCTTTTAGTCCTTATTTACACTTTCAGTTTCTCACACTAGAGAAACTATTCGGTATTTATACATGTGTGTCTTATTTATTTCACTTAAGAGTATTGCCTCAATGTGCATCCATTTAGCTATAAATGTCTCTAATTTCTCATTTTTTATGGCCAAGTAGTACTCCATTTTAGAAAAAAACCCACATTTTCTTTATCCAGTCTCCATTTGATGGGCATTTGGGCTGTTTCCAAGTTTTAGCTATTACAAACTGTGCTGCTATGAACATGGGTGCACATATATCACTGTGGTATGATTCTTTTAATTCTTTGGGGAAGATACCCAGCAGGGGAATAGCTGGGTCAAATGGGACTTCCAGTCCTAGTTCTTTGAGGTATCTCCATACTGATTTCCACAGTGGTTGCACCAGTCTACACTCCCACCAGCAGTGGAGCAGGGATCCTCTTTTCCCACAGCCCCACCAGCATTTGTTATTGGTTGATTTCATGATAGCTGACATTCTTTCTGGAGTGAGGTGGAATCTCAGCATTGTTTTCATTTGCATCTCTCAAATGACCATTGATGTTGAACATTTTTTCATATGCTTATTTGCTATTTCTACTTTGTCTGAGAAATGTCTGTTCATTTTAGATGCCCATTTTCGGATTGGGTCTTTAAATTTGGAAGGTCTGATCTTTTAAAGTTCTTTATAGATTCTAGATAGTAGACCTTTGTCTGAGGAACACCAGGTGAAGATTTTTCCCCACATTTTGGGTTGTCTCTTCACACGGCTGGTGGTTTCTCTTGTGCAAAAGCTTTTTAATAAGAAGAGATCCCACTTGTTGATTGTGCTAGTTCACGGGCAGCTGAGGTTTTGTTCATAAAATCTTTTCTTACACCAGTGTCTTCAAGAGCTCCACCTAACCTCTGTTCCAGCTGGTTCAGCATTTCTATTTTAATACATAGATCTTTAATCCATTTTGATTTTAGTTTAGTGCATGGCGAGAGATATAGGTCTAGTTTTAATCTTTGGCAAGTTGAAACCCACTTTTTCCAGCACCATTTGATATGTACATTATTGAGAGCTTTGAATTATTGAATTCCAGAAGATGCCAGCATTTCATGTTTCTTTTTTTTTGTACCAGGGATTGAACTCAGGTCCTTGTGCTTGCGCACCAGGCGGTGAAACACTGAGCTAAATCCCCGGCCATTTCATGTTTCTTCCAACAGTGTTTATATGTCTGTTCCCTCAGCTGCAGTACATTGGACATTACTATTTATAAAAATCTTTGTGGATTAGGTAAGTGAACATGGTATTTTCCTTTAATTTATGTTTCTTTCATTAGTGGTGTGATTATTTCTTTTATTTATTTTTTGGTACCGGGGATTGAACTCAGGATCTTGAGCTTGCGAGTCAGGTGGCGGCACCACTGAGCTAAATCCCCGGCCCTGGCGTGATAATTTCTTAACATTGACCATCAGTGTGTTTTTGTGTGTATGTGAAATACCTCTTCATGTCCTCTGCAGTCCTGTCTTGGCTTGTTGCTGAGATCTCCTGAAAACTTCTCCCACTGATCTAATCCCAAACTTTAGCGGGGTGGTTCTACCCAAGCGTGAAAAATGGATTTGTATTTTTGCTTTAGTTTTCATTTCCTGGCTGCTATTAAAGTTGAATAATTTTTCATTGTTTTTGGCTATTTGGGTTTCCTCTTGTGATTTTTCCATCATTAATCCATTTTTCTTTGGGGATATTTAAGGATATTTGTACGGGCCTATAATCCCAGAGGCTGAGGCAGGAGGACTGCAGCTTGGGAGCCAGACTGGGAAACTTAGTGAGACACTGTCTCAAAATAAAAAATTAAAAAAGAGGGCCAGGGATTTAGCTCAGTGGTTCCGCTGCCTGCCTCACAAGTGCAAGGACCCAAGTTCGATCCCCGGTACCAAAAAAAAAAAAAAAAAATTTTAAAAAGGGATGGCGATATAGCTCAGTTTGAAGACTCTGAATTTAATCTCTAGTAAGACAAAAGCATTTAAGACTAATGTATGTAGTACAGATTCCACATAATGTATCATTTTTATTGGTTTCTAGATAATATGTAATATCAGTTTGGACTTCCTCTTTGATCTGTGGGTTATTTAGAAGGGATTTTCTTGAGTTCCAAGCAGGGTTCCCCCCTCAAATTTGGTAATTTTATTATTTATTTATATGTTATTTGATTAAGATCAAGGCATATGGGGTATAAGATTTTTGTGTTGAGAAAGTAGGATTTCTTGGCCATAACCAATTGACTTTTGTGTATATTCTGTCACATAAGAAGTGAATGTTTCTAGGTGTGTTAACACATGCTTGAAATCCCATCTTCTCAGAAAGCTGAAAAGGGAGCACCTCAAGTTTGAGCCCAGCCTGGGTAATTGAGCAAGACCTTGTCTCAGAATTAAATAATAAAACCTGAGGATGTAGCTAAGCACTATCTTATTTCAGTCCCTAGTACCACAAAGAAAAAAAAATGCTAATGTTGATTTTTAGAAATGCTTTGGTTTTACTTTTTGCCAACTTGATTTGTCAAAATTCTGGAAAAGCATTAAAGCCTCCTATCATTGTTTTTTTTTTAAAAAAAAAAAAGATCTTGTATTTCTAGGTGGTTTTGTTTCAGGTACCTAGCTCATGGAGTGAACCTATTATTATGAAAAACAATTTTTGTCCAGTTTAATGCTTTTTGAGTCATATTGGCCTCAATTTATAATGTTGCTCTTCCTCTCTGTTTGCCTGGACTACAGTATATGATGCATCCTTTTTTTTTAGCCTTTGTCACCTAAATATGTACCTAGATTTTGTCATCTAACTTAATTTGATAGTTTTGTGTTTTGTTTTGTTTTTTTCAGTACTAAGGATCGAATCCCAAGGAATGCTGAGCTATATTACCAGCCCTTTTTATTTTGAGACAGGGTCTCACTAATTTGCCCTAACTTAGGATCCTCCTTCTTCAGTCTCCTGAGTAGCTCGAACTACCTGTCTTTTGATAGGCAAACTCAGCCCATTTGTATTTTCTAGAAGTAACTGATAGCTGATTTTATTCTACTTGTAATCTGTCATTAAGTTTATTGCATTTATGCCTATTTCCTCTTCTCCTTTTTTACTTTATTTTGTAACCTTTTAAAGTTTCTCTTCACTTTCTGCTTTCCCTTTATGAGTTTGGATAAAATGCTTTTCCATTCTGCAAGTGGTTACCTTTCCTTTCCTAACAATCCCAACTGAATCCCATTTCTGTCTACCATTTGTCACTCTGTGCCATGATACTTGACCTCCATAGCATCCCCTTGGCCCCCTGTACTTGGAATTAGGAATTTCACAACACACTTGTGAAAATTTTTTTCTTTTTTAACAAATCAAAGCTTTTGGGGATTTGGTGGCCTCTTTTAATGTGTTGACTCAAGTCTTATCCAGATTATTATCTGCCTGTCCATCTGTGGCCTTTTCTCCTTCTGGAATTTGTCTTTTTTTTTTTTGAAACAGGGTCTCACTGTGTAGTTCAGCTTGGCCTTGAACTCATTATGTAGACCAGGCTGGTCTCAAACTCAAAGCAGTCCTCCTGCTTCAGCCTCCCAAGTGCTGGTATTATAGGTATGCACCATCATGCTGGTGATTTACATCATGACACCTGGATGTATTTTCAGTTTGCATCTCTGCCATGATCTCCATTTCTTGCTTTTCTCCCTCTCTGTTCTCAGGAATACCTTTTACTTTATATTGCAGATTGCTAGTTTGGCCACAGTTGAGAGCATCCTTTTTGTCTGCCCTAGAGCTAGAACTTTCATTATGGTGTTCTACAGTCTCTGTTAACTGGTACTTCAGTAAGATATTTCCTCCAGAGAATGGAATCCTTCTTACCTCCTGCCCCTTCTCTGAGCCTTCTCAAGCCAGGGATTCCCCTTTTGTATTTGGTCTGTTTGCTCCTGGTTTTTATTTTCTTCACAGGTCACTGTTCCTGAGTAGTGGCCAAAGCATGAGGGGTGGGAGACCCAGAACTTTCTGCTCTTCTTGGCCAGGAATGAGAACTGACAAACCATCAGCCCTTTTTTGAGGGCATGTGTGTGGGCTATGTGCAGGTTTCTCTGACACGAAGGTAACTCCTCCATCTCCAGCTCCAGCTCCAGCTCCAGCCTGGTGGCCCTCCTAGGACTGAGCAAGTGGACGCAGTCCTTCCCTAGGCTATTCTTAGTTAAGTTTCTTCCCCACCACACACTTGTAGATAGGGGATCATTCTCTCTCCTGTACCTCCTCTCAGCAGTTCCCCCTATTGCCCAAGCTGGCCTTGAACTCAGGATCCTCCTACCTCAGCCTGGGGAGTTGCTAAGATTACAGGGGTATGCCATCACACCTGGCTTCTCTTTTTTTCTAGGTTCCTTCAGGAACTATGAAATTTCCTTTGTTCCAGGCTTTAGAGCTGCTGCCCAATTTAACAGCTGGTTGTTAATGTTAAAAGGGCATGTGACACCAAGGAAGGGAAGGGACAGAATGAAGGAGGGAGCATGGCTGCTAGTTGGAAGTGTTGCTTTTGGGTAATCTGCACAGAGACACCTTCCCCTTGCTATGATGGGTGTCCCCAGGGCTGCATTCCAATTGGAGGGTACCAAAGGACTGCTGGTGGCTACCTTTTGGTCGCTAAAGCCATTCTTACCTGTGCTGTGTCCCTTGGTGCTCTCCTGGCACCAAGGAGAGCCCAGTTCTGGTGTTGTCCTCTTCCAGGAACCCAAACTGGAACCTGCCACTGTATGTGCACACACCTGCCTGCTGGGAAGAAGACAAGAAGGGAGACCTTACCTTCAGGTGGCATCATCCAGGGAGTCAGCAAATAAAAACACTTAAATTTCCTTTCTAGATTTTAATTTATTTTTAAAACTTGGAATTACAATAAAACAAAAGTAAAAAGGCAGAAAATAAATGTCAATTCTCACCAACTAGGAGCAATGAAATTTTATACATCTTTCTAACCTCTTATGATTTGAAAATATTTTTGAGTAGGTAGTAATATATGCAAATTGTACAAAATTCAAAAGGTACAAAAAGTATAAACTCCCTTCCTCTTACCCGATTCTCTTCTTCAAAGACAAGCAATTACTGGGATAATCATTAACACATATACATGTATAGAAATATACTTTCCCTCCTCACAAATGGTTGCATTCTCTAACACTGTTCTGCGTCTTGCTTTTGTCACATAATATGCCTTAGAAATCTTCCCATATTTTACTCAAAAGAAGTCCTATTGTATATTCTGTTGCTATATTCACAATTTATTTCACCAGTCCTTAATTGGGGCACATTTTGATTGTATGAATAGTTCACTATTAGAATTAGTGTTTCAGTGTCTATAGTTGACATACCTCTTTAGCCATGTGGAGTAAATCTACAGTATAAATTAGTTTAAGTGGAAATGCTGGGTCAAAGTGTAATTTTTCTAGAAATTTCCAAATTGTCCTCCATAGAGGTTGTGCATGCCAGTCCCTCTGCTTAGTCTTACTTATTCGTTCTCAGAAGAACAATAGCAGTTAATCTTTCTTGGTGTTGTAAACCATATTCTGCTATGCCTCTTACTGCATCTTCAGTTCTAAGATCGGACCATTAATATTTCCCATTTATCAGACAAAAGAATTGAGGCAGAAAAAAGTTTGGTCCCTTGCTTGTAATTTTATTGGTCATTCCAGCTTCTAGCTCAAGGTCATCTGTCTGTTTCATCACAGCTGAGCTTCCCTGCCTCAGGACAGTAGCTTCCAAGCCAGACAAGCTTTTCTTCATAAGACAATTTGAAGACATTAGGTTCTTAAATTATTTTTTTTAAGTTTCATGTAATCTCAGCACTCTGGGGGGCTGAGGCAAGAGGATTACAAGTTCAAATCCAGCCTCAGCAACTTAGCAACTTAGTGAGACACTGTCTTAAAAATTTTAAAGCAAGGGCTGGGGATTTAGCTCAGTGGTTTTGCCGCCTGGTGTGCAAGTGCAAGGCCCCAAGTTTGATCCCCCATACCAAAAAAAAAAAAAAAAAAGTAGTGAGATTGGCCGATTTAGCTCAGTGGTTTCGCCACCTGGTGTGCAAGCGCAAGGACCCGAGTTCAATCCCCGGTACCAAAAAAAAAAAAATTTTTAAAGGGGCAGGCAGGGAGTTCTGACGAAGTAGTTAAGTGTGAAGAGCATGGGTTCAATCCCCAGTACTACAAATAAATAATTCAAAAAAATAAGTTAAAAACAACTTCCAGATTTACTTTCCTGGGTCGGGGATTTAGCTCAGTGGTTCCAGCGCCTGCCTCGAAAATGAAAGGTCCCAAGTTCGATCCCCAGTACCAAAAAAAAAAAAAATGCCTGTACAGATTTACTTTCCTATTTCCTACTTTTCCTAAAATACTGAAATCTGAGATACTCAACTGTAAGCTCCTCCAGGGCAAGATCTTCAGACCCTCTATCTTTGTATGTGAAAGGTACGTGGGTGCTCCAATCAATTATAGTCATGTTAAATACAGCATGGTTTCCTTAGATTCAAGTTCTGATAAGTAACGCACAAAGATAAATCTAAGGAATTATGGTTGAGCTAATTCAATTAATTGTTTTTTTTTTATTTTAGAATGTTGTGTATGTATGTGTGTTTGTGTGTATGTGAGCCTATGCTATAGTTTGGGTATGGCCCCTTGAAGTCATGTTGGAGATATGGTCCCCAGTGGTTTGGTGTTGAGAGATGGGATCTTTGGGAGGTACAGTGGACCCTTGATTTATGAACTCAATTCATTCATTAGGGCTGGTTATAACTCAAGTTGGTGAGTTGAAGGCTCAGGCTCCTCTACACAGCTTTCAAAGTTTCTCTCCTGTATACAGGCAAATCTCAGTGTCCTTAGAGAGACATTGGCCCAGGATTTCTCAATTAACCCCACACAGGAAAGGATGCTGTAATGTTCCTTCCAGAACTCTTTAAGGGTTAAATCTGTATCTGAGACCATCTGGAAGCACAAGTGGCTGGCATTCAGGTTGGAACTCAAGACTTCAGTTGTAAGTTAAGACTAAAATTCTAGACCTAACTCGAGTTGTTTGTATGTCAGGCCAGTCATAACTCGAGGGTCCGCTGTAACTGGATCATTCATGGATTAGTGGATTAATAGGTTACTGTGGGAGTGACTTGGCTATAAAATTGAGCACTCTCTCCCTTGCTTGCTCTGTCTCACACCATGTTACACCCTCTGCCTTGTTAGGATACAGCAAGAAGCCCCTCACCAGATGCCAAGCAGATGTTGGCACCATGCTTTTGGATTTCCCAGCCTCCAGAATCGTGAGCTGCATAAATCTCTTATTTTTTTTAGTTACCGGGTTTGTGGTATTCAGTTATAGCAACAGAAAATGAATCAAGATACCCTGCTTTGGAATCAGTGTCAAAATCTCATTCGTGAAATGTTTTTAGAGCACTTTTACATTCATTTATGGCAATAACCTGCCCTCTGTGCTAGGGTATTTGACATACAGTATGTCATGCAAAATGTTTTTCACAAAACTTGAGAAGCTGGCAGGGAGCTATTATTATCCATAGTTGGTTTATTTTCTTTTTTTCAGAGTTTTCCCCCCAGAAGCAGCAGCCTAAGGAAGTTTGGGTAGCATGTTGGCCTACATGGCCTCTCTTTAGCTGTGCCTTTTTAGGCTCTTTAGCTGTGATCTCCTTTGGCTCAGAGAATTAAGACAGCTTCAGGCCAGGTCCCTGGGATTCCAGGTCTATTGTTCTCCTTTGTTCCTTAGATCTGAAAACTCTTCAAGGCTTGAGAGGAAGTGCAGTGAGTTGATTCTCATGTACCTGGAGAAGAAAATGTAGAGGCGACGGAACCACAAGAGCTGGGTACGGTGGCAGGACATAGCTTTCTAGAAAAAAACAAAGAGGACCAGTTATGGACACTTTCTTTATTTTTGTTACTTTCAGATTTCCTTTTTCACTCTGAAATCTTTCCTCCCGCTAACACACTGCTATAGCTTATCTGGCATCTTTCTATAGCATATAGACCAGTCTCCAATTCTGCCTTGCTTCCCATCTCCTTACTCCCCTGTAGTTATAGCAGATGCTCCTAAGAACACCCGGAGTGGGGCCGGGGATTTAGCTCAGTGGTCCCGCCACCTGCCTTCCAAGCGCAAGGTCCTGGGTTCAATCCCCAGTACCAAAAAAAAAAAAAAATGAATACCCGGAGCACTTGCTGCCAGCACAAAACCACTGGTAGTCTACAACTATCATCTCAATGTGAACAATGCTGGGAGTTAAATTCTATTATTATTATTAGGTGTTTTTGTTTATTTGTTAATTTTTGTCTTTTTGCTATTGGGAATTTAACCCAGGGCCTTCACACTGAGCTACATTCCTACCCCTTTTTTAGTTTTTATTTTGGGACAGGGTTTTCCTTGGTGCTAAGTTGCCCAGGCTGGGGTTGAATTTGTGATCCTCCTGCCTTAGCCTCCCAGAATGCTGGAATTATAGGCATACACCACCATGCTTAGCTATTGCTTTTTTTTTCCTCCTTCCTTAAGATAGATGAGGACACTCAGCAATCTCAAATAGCTAGTAGGTGGCAGAGTTGAGATTCAAACCCAGAGCCATCTGCTTGACTCCATAGCCTACATTCTTAATCATTTGCTCTACTACCTCACTTATACAACACAAACAGGGATGTTTTATAAGCAGAGGAAAAAAGGGGCTTGGGGATGTAGCTCAGTGGTAGGATCCTTTCCTAGGATATGTGAAGTCCTTGGGGGATGGTATATGTTGTCCTTCCCCACCTTCTAGCAGGAGAATATATATTATCTTGTTATTCTGGTTCCATTTGTTTTTTTTTAATTCTCCATGGTGCTAGGATTGAACCCAGAGCCTTGTGGATGCTGGGCAAACACTCTACCACTGAGCTATATCCTTGCCCTTTCCCCCCTTCCTTTATATTTTGAGATGGAGTCTCACTAGGCTGGTCTTCAACTTGCACTCCTCCAGTCCCAGCCTCCTAAATAGCTAGGATTACAGCTGTGCACCATCATACATGGCTCTAGTTCAGTTTTTTTTTTTGGTACCGGAGATCGAACTCAAGACCTTGCAAGGCGAGGCAGGTGCCAGATCCACTGAACTAAATCCCCAGCCCCTCTAGTTCAGTTTTTAAACAGATGTAGCAACTGACTTAACTGTATATGACATATATAAAAGATTACTATTTTTCTCTAAGTACTATAATTTAACTGCCTAAGTTTTCTTTTTTTTGTGTGTGTGGTACTGGGAATCAAACTCAGGACCTTGCACTTGCCAGGCAGGCACAGCCACTGACCTAAATCCTCAGCCCCATGCCTATCTAAGTTAATGTTGTTGTAAAACTTTAAGGAACTCATTAATTATCAGAACATACATGACTTTAGAAGCGTGAACATACATGTGATAAGCTTTAGATGATAAAAGGAATTGGAGCAGAATTATCACCATAGAATATATTCAGGCAAAATATTATATATCATCTTTTCCACAGGAAACACAAGTAACCATTTTAAGTAAACTTTATTATCAGAAGCAAAAAGGATGTGTGAACTCAGAATAGAATTCAAATTTTGAGTAACATAATAAGAAATACATTTAGGAAACTACTGGGAGAAGGGATGACCTTTATACAGTCCAAACCACACTTGATCTATTTCCTTGGAATACTTATCATGTTATAAGGATTTCTAACATCATGATACCCAAGTGGCCTAATCTATCTAACTATATATTTTTTGTTAGCTTTGTTCAAATTTTCTAAGGGAATACTGAAAAAAAATCAAAATTATGTGTACAGTTTGTATTCTTTGCTTCTGGAGCATTTTCACTACCTGTCTTTCAAAATGCTCATTTTACTGGTTATACAGTACTATATTGTTTATCTACTGAATATTAGTCCCTATTTTGGCTACTCTAAATTACTGATGAACATTCTTGCACATAAATTTATAGACTCATCTTTATTCATTTCCTTAAAATTCTAGAGAAATATAAATTATTGGGCCAGAGTATGAATTATACAAGTAATACATCATTATAAAAATGTTTAAAATTTTAAAAGAAAAAATGAAACATATCTTGAATCTCACCATTTGGAAGTAATCACTATTAATATTTTTGCATGTTCTTCAATTTATGTGTGTTTTTGTGCTTATGGGAAAATATATCATGCTCTCTACATACTGCTTCATAGTAACCTGTTTGTTTTCTGTAGTGTATCAAGAAAATAAAAAAGGTAAAAACAGTCTCTAAGCAAAAAGGTAAAAATAGTCTTTTAGACTTCTCACATTCACTATTCATGCTTCTCAGAAAAGCTATAGCAATTTACACACCTGTTTCATCAAAGCTTTAACAATGATTTCTAATTTGATCCTTACCACTTTGCTAGCAAAAGCTACTTTTTTTTTTTTTTTTTTGGTACCGGGGATCAAACTCGGGCCCTTGCGTTTTTTTTTTTTTTTTTTTTTTGGTACCGGGGATCAAACTCGGGCCCTTGCGTTTGCACGGTAGGCAGCGAAACCACTGAGCTAAATCCCCAGCCTTGTTTTGTTTTGTTTTTTTGTTTTTTTGGCACCAGGGATAGAACTTGGGACCTTTCGCTTGCAAGGCAGGCACCGGAACCACTGAGCTAAATACCTGGCCCCAAAAGCTACTTTTTATTTTCTTATTCTCAAAATAATTCCATTGTTCTGACATGGTGAATGCAGGAAATTCATGCTTCCTATTCCATGCACATAGCCATGACAGAAAAACATAAACGGAATATAAAAAAAAAAAGACATGAATGGGTGAAAATTAAGATCAATAGCACCATGAACATACAGAATGCAAACATAGGAGTGAGTGCCCAAGGTGGAGGTTTGCCAACTAGCGACTTTGCTAGACAGGCACCCATACTTGAAGCTCAGAGCTTGGAGTTGGGAAGGGTCTCCTTTGCCTGTGCAACAGCACTGGGGGAAAACAGTGCCTGTTGTAGTGCACAGATAGCAAAACGTAGGGACAGCAGCACTGAGCCTTGTTAACTGCTGAATCAGCCAGGGACTAGAACCGGTACCAGAGGACCTGATTCTGGCCATTCAGCAACTGCAAAATTCCTGGATAGGGAGGGTCACAGAGGAAGAGGAGGTTAATAAAATCCCCCAATTCAATAACCTACAGTACCTTTCCCCAAGTTTACAAAACAGACTTCAACACAAAGTAACCTGATACAAAGACAGAAATGCTAACAATATCAGCATTCGAAACATAAATATATTCTAGATGAAAGCAGCTTTGTAGAATAGTTTATCCAGACTAAAAAAATTAAATTTAGGCTGTTCAAATTGCTAAATAAAAGAAGAAAAATTCTAAGTGAGAATAAGAAAGTATGAGATAAACAAATGCAACAATAGGTACACAGGAAATTTAAAAAATGACAAATTTTAGAAAACATATGAAATAGAAAACATTTTAAAGGGAAAATTAAGAAACACAGAGAGCCAGGCATGGTGACCCATACCTGCTATCCCAGTTACTTGGGAGGCTGAGGAAAGATAATTGCAAATTTGAGGCCAGCCTGGGCATCTTACCACACCCTGTCTCAAAATAAAAATAAAATGAGAAAGGCAGAGCTTGAAAAAAAAAAAGAAAAGAAACAAAATAGGCTGGAGTGTGGTTCAGATCAGTGGTAGAGCACTTGCTTTATATGGCAAAAGGCCCTGGGTCCCAACCTCAGCACTGAAAAATAAAAAAATTAAAAGACACAAAGCCTAGATTACTAGGACCTGATACATATTTACTAGGAGTCCTGGAGTGAGAATGAAGGGAATACCACACTAGAGGCAAGTGAAGAGGTATCAAGTGAGGACTTTTCAGAAGTGCTAAGTATGGGTGCTCAGTTTGAGAGTACTAAGCAGAATCGTGTGACCAAGATCTGCCATAAATACACTACAATAAGACAGCAGAGCCAGGGATTTAGCTCAGTGGTTCCAGTGCCTGCCTCGAAAGCACAAGGTCCAGAGTTCGATCCGTGGTTCCAGAAAAAAAAAAAAGACAGCAGGGCCCAGAAATATAGGGGTACTCTTCACATACAAAAAAGATTAAAGGGCTGGGGATTTAGCTCAGTGGTTCCACCGCCTGCCTCGCAAGCAGAAGGTCCCAAGTTCGATCCCTGGTACCAAAAAAAAAAAAAAAAGATTATAGGGCCCGGGTTTTAGCTCAGTGGTTTTGCCACCTGCTGTGAAAGCGCAAGGACCCAAGTTTGATTCCCGGTAAAAAAAAAAAAAAAGATTATATAACACCAGGTTTTCAGGAGCATAGATGCTACCAAAGATAAAGGCAAATACAGAGATACATCTTCATAAATGCTGAGGTGTGCTAATACATGCCTGTAATCTCTGTAAGGAGGATCTGAAGTTCAAGTCCGGCCTGGGCAATTTAGTGAGATGCTGTCTCAAAAAATAAAAAGAAAAGGGCTGGGGATATAGCTCAGTGTAAAGGCCCTGGGTTCAATCTCCAGTACAAAATTTAAAAAGCAAAGGGGAAATAAACTATCCTTTCCAGCTAAACTCACTCAAAAGATAGGACCATTAAACATTCAAAGGCTAAGAGAATTTGCCTTTCTGAGACTCTCACTAAAACAATTACTGAGGCCAATTACTGAGGCCGGGGATTTAGCTCAGCGGTTTCGCCACCTGCTGCCACCTGCTGCGCAAGCGCAAGGACCAGAGTTCGATCCCCGGTACCAAAAATAAATAAATAAATAAATAAAATAAAACAATCACTGAAGAAGGGTTAGAGTATTTAGCTCAATGGTAGAACACTTGTCTGTCATGCCCAAGGCCCTAGGTTGAACCCATAGCACTGCAAAACAAAACACCAGCAA